CCTCTACAAATGTACCGTCTACAGTGGCCAGAAGATCCAGCAGGAGAAAATGGTGACGCTCAGTGTTAAAGGTGAAGACGGGTTCATCAGGTCCAAGTCTTTATCCCAGCATTAGCTTTAGGTGTAGTTTCATGACACGATGGATGGATGAAGTTCTTCAGTCTGAGATGTTCTCTCTGGTTTATCTGCAGATCCTCTGGACAGCAGCTTCTTAGAAAGAGTTCAGTCCTACAAGGGGAGCAGGAGACCAGCCGCTTCATCTCAGGAGTAATTTTCCTTCTGTTCTTCCATCTTAGTAATAAATGTGTGATCCAGCTGGGCTGAGCAGGGAACCAGGTCTCAGTGCAGAAGCTTCACCTGGAGCTGCTCTAAAGCACTCAGTGGGATCCATTAAAGGTGACCAGAGTAGAGCTTTACTGACCACCATGGAGTGGTGAACACCTTCTGGAGATACCAGACTCACTGTATCACTGATAGGGTGGCTGGGATCTCAGTTGGATGTCAGAAGGTCTTCTGTCTGCTGACTAAGCTGAATGGAGAAAAGAATCCAGACGATGAAGCTGCCATCATGGTGGCTGATCCAGAAAGGTCACCACATGGTTCCTGTCAGGATGGACCTGCTTCAGAAGAACCAGGCCACCTCAGCAGGACACCAACAGCCACCCAGACCAGAGCAGTTGGTGAATCTGACATCTGATCAGTTCCTGCGTAATCTAAGAATTCCCTGAGATCATTTCCAGTCCTTGTCTGGACATCTATAAAAGCTGTGGGTGTCCATCTTCTCCACCTTCACCCACCAGGGTTATGTTGGGGCTGGTGTCTATCTCCAGCAGTTTATGGGGGAAAGGCGGGTTGCACCATGAACAGGCCAACATGAAACCATGCACACACACACATATACCTAGAAGTAATTTAGAGATGCCAATCAACCTAACATGTCATGTCTTTGGGCTTTGGTAGGAAGCCGGAGTACCCAGAGAGAACCCATTCATGCACGGGGAGAACATGCAAACTCCATGAGAAAGACCCCTGTGGGAAATCTAACACAGGACCTTCATGCTTAGCCACCATGCAGCCCCTAGATCAGCAGTGCCCAAACTGGGCCCTCTATGTCATAGTGGTATTTCTATGTCCCGCAGGATTTAGAGGTTTCTTTGCTTCAGCTGAAACAGCGACCCTCAATGACTGACTTTGGGCATGGCTTCCATAGATCAGCACCTTCTTAACCAGTCTAGTCCCATTAAGTTGTAGATTTTCTACTTTCTAACAGAAGTTCAGCTCCTGGACCAGTTCCATCAAACCAACCTAGAATTGGTGAAGAGAACTTAGGTCTCCCTCACCCTGACAGAACATCTGGACCTGAAGGAACCACACAGAACCACAGACCCAACGGTCTGAGCTGAGTCTGGGTTGGCAGATAGAACTTTGGAGCTTGGTTAGAAGGAAGATGGAGCTCTATGAGGTCTAAACAGACCAACAGAACCATTCATCAGTCAGTCTGGTCAATTTCATCTAAAGGTCATCATCAGAACATGGTTCTGAAGGGTTTCTGATCGGGTTCTACAGCTTCTGTCTCTGTTTGATGGATTCCAGGAGGAAAATACCTTAATTCTGTTAAAGTTCTTCAACATGAGGAACTTTAAAGTGTTTATTATTGTGATGTTCTTCCTCAGGTGGTCTTCATCATTTTCTGCTTCTGTACAGAAACCAGAGTCCAGTTTGGGTCCATCCTCTTTAACTGAACATCTCCTCTGTTTCAGGAACGTCCCACTGGACCCATCTGTTAATCCAGTCTGATCTCTGGATTAACCCTCTGGAACCTGGATTATAATCTGTTAGGAGACTGTTTCAGAAGACGTTTGGTACCAGAAACACTGAGGCCTAACCAGCTTCACTAACCTGGTCTGTTAGCTTCTACCAGAACCTGAGGTGCCAGAAGTTTGTCTGCTGCTTCCTGGATTATCTTCACAGTCAATGAGATGTCTTTAAACGTTGACTCCTCTGCAGAGTTCAAAGAACCTTTATTCTAAATGTTTAGAGAGGAACTACCTCCTTCTCCAATAGTCCCATGCTAACCCTCTGGAGTCAAACCAAGTAATTGTTCATGCATTCTCCTTTGGTGGTCTACTGGGCAGTGGGGGTTGTAGAAAAAAAATCATCTGGGTGATAAAGGAGGGACCTGTTTACACTGAGACATGGGTGCAGGTTTGCATAGCGACCATAGGAACATGTCCCCATCTAAGGTTTGGACCAACCTACTGGTTGATACCAGTAACACGATGAGATCTGCCAATGACATGTTCATAATCCAGGATACTGTGTTCTTCCTGCAGCCGCTTCTTTTCCTCTCACAGCTCCACTGCCCGACAGCTGCTGCTGCTTTGCTGCTTGTCTTAATGATCTTCAGAATATTTGGATAAAAGAAATTACATCAAATACTTTATTTACAGCACGTATTTAAAGAAATCAA